GAACAGAAAAAAAAGAGAAAAAATGAAGCAAAAAAACAACACTAGTACTGCACGGTGTCGGTACGCCTCAACCACCACCGTTGGTTTGTTTGACCCTCTACACAAAAAACTCTGCACAAACAATGTGAATTTATTTCTCTGATATCTCTTTGTTGGTGCGGCAGCAAGCCAATGGGGTGGCTCGTCCTTCTGTCGAGCTGTTCTGAGGCCGTTGTGGTTGTAGTTGCGGTTTCAGCACGAGAGAGTAGAAATTAAACAGGAAGAAGGGTAAAGTGAGCTTGATTACCGTTTGTTTTACCTTTAAAATGCTATAAAAAGCGAGATCTAAGGGGAGGAATGTGCGTATTCTGGTGTATGTAGTGTACACAGAAACGAACTTACGAGCGAAATGGGCGTAGAAGGTAACAAGGTTCAGTGAGACAAAGAGAGAAAGAAGAAGAATTCAGAACGTAATTGAGTTGAAAGCGACAAAGAACGTTCAAAAAGTCCAAAGAAGTGTTTTATAATCTCGATTGAATACAAGTTTCTGCACAGCCAGCCACCGGCGAGCTGAGGTGTACATACACCGCAAGCGGAGGTCTGGCGAGCTACGGCGCCCGGCGCCGACCGCCAAGCGAGCGCAGCCGAAAGCTGGATTTTTTTGCATTTAAAATTTTTAATTCGCATGCATTTAATTATTATTTTAAAAATAAAAGTTTTTCTTTTTTAAAAAAGAAAAATACCCGCAGCAGATGCAGTGGTCCATTGGCGTCTGCTGGCGGTTCTCGCCGTTTCAGCACTGCGTGACCCCGCCTTGGCGATACGACGTAGACGGGCCGTTCTGAGTGTAACAATTTGTTTTATTTCAATTATTAATTTGTGTTTATTTAATATTTATGAATAATTATTCTTAAATTGCGGCTCCATGCACGCTGTGCATCTGCGGTTCTACCCCCCCGCCATCCGGCATCCTCTTTCTCTCATCGTGAATCATCGCGCTGCGACTCTGCAAAAAAATAAATATATGAAATACAATTTACTTTCCATACTGCTAATTCTTGAATTTTAATTACATGCAAACCATATTTTGTTATTTATTTATCGGAGATTGATGGGCCCAACGGGCACAGAAACTGCTCGCACGAGTGACCCGTGCTGCAGCTTCTGCTGCTGAGAATACCCAGCTCATTGCTAGCAGCAAAAAGGAACGGCTCTGCCTCTCTCCTTGAACGGTTTTCACTCCAAATTTAAGCAACGACGTCACCCCTTTCTCTCCTCTTCAGTTCATCTGTTGCTGGCCACCCGCAAGTTGTGGTTGCGTAGTTGTCGCCGGGTGTCTGTACACCTGACGACGAGGTGTACAGACACCCTGCTTGTTGTTGCCAGGTGTCTGTACACCTCGTTGCTGTTGGTATCCGCTATGAACGAGTTAAACAAACAGTTTAGTAAAGGCAGGAGATTCCTCTCTCCCAGAGAAAGAGAGGCTACGGATGCTGAGACGAGAAGAAACACGAGTTGCTGCTGCAGCTGCTGTCTCAGCCTAAAACCTGCCTACAACAGCACCAAAGCAGCAGCCGCGATGCATGCACTGCAGCAAACCAAAAACAGAAACCCTAATGCCTCATCTACGACGTCACGCAAGCAGCTGAACCGCTCGCTCCACTGCAGCAGCGGCAGCCGCTGCTGCAGCTGCTGCAGCAACTGCTGCCGCGTGATGCTGCAGCAGCTGCTGCTGCTGCAGCAGCTGCTACTGCTGCAGCATCACCCCCCCCTTCCAGCCCGTCCCTGCTGCTGTGAGGGCTAGTGTAGAGACACCCCAGGCTCAGGGTATTTGGCAATCAAGCGCAAGCGGAGAGGCAGCAGCAGTTTGCATACACCGCCTACTATGATGAGACGATTAGTTTTTTTTTTTAGTTTTTTGCTGCTGCTGCCTCCTGTGTGCTGCAGCTGCAGCATTTCGGGTGTCTGCGGAGCTCGCATTGTCTGCTGTTTCTCTGCGCCCGCCGAAACTGTTTTTTAATTCACAAAGATAAACAAACCAAACAAAATAAATGCACTGCCTGTACACCCCAACAAATCAAACCCCCCTGGTGACAGACACCGCGAGGACACTGAGCTGTACATACACCGCAGCTTCTCTCAACCGCCTGCCTCTGCCACGCATAAACGCAACAAATGCGTCTGCTGTATGCGCAGCAAAGGAAGAGAGAGAACCCAGTGAGGTGTACATACACCCGAGCTTTTGGCCTGAATGTCCTCCCTTTTTCTTTTCTTTAGCTTTCATCCTCTCCAATGAGATCGATGCAGCAGCAGCAGCAGCACCAGCAGCAGCAGCAGGACGGTGCTGCTACGGTGTACATACAAAACAAAGCAGTTGCCCCCTCTGCACATCCGTTTCCTTTGCTGCTGCGTTTGCTGCTGCTGTTGCTGCTGCTGTTTCTGGTACTCTTGCAGTGTCTGTTGTTGTTATTGATATTTGTTTTTTGTTTACTTTTTTTTATTTCTTTTTATTTTCTTTTGTTTCCTTCTCTATTACAATGAACCCAAGTACTTCTTTACACGAACCTGACACAGAGGCTGCTCCGGCCTGAAGGCCCCCACCAGCATCACCGCCTCCTCCGTGTTTGGCCATTTGTGTAGAATCACCTCAGAGGAGTAGCGGCATTTAGAGGGAACTGCAGCAGCAGCAGCAGCAGCAACAGCAGCAGCAGCAGCAACAGCAGCAGCAGCAGCAGCAACAGTCACAACAACAACAATGACAGGAGAAGCAGCAACAGCAGCAACAATAACAACAGAAAAAGAAAAAAAAACAGCAGCAGGAACAGCAACACAAACAGCAGCAGAACCTCTATAAACCAGGCGCTGCATATATCACTAACACACGAGAAAAGCAAATCAGGTCCCTATACACCTCAGTTGCCTTAGTTTTTTTTAACTTGAATTTATTTCTTATTGGTTCTAAGCCCCGCATGCAACGGGGTGTACATACACCTCACAGGCTGCACAACACACTCACGCGAGAGCCATTTATATATTTTTCCATCGCCGTCAAACAGCACCACCTGCCCCCCCCTTTTGCTTCTCTTAGCCCCCAATTTAATCAGAAACTCAAAAAAAGAACTCGGAAGAAGTTGCATCAGCTGCAGCATATACACCACCACTCACACAAACAAACAAACCCTAAACCCTAAACCCTAAACCCTAAACCCTAAACCCTAAATTTGTTGATACTTCAGGTGTATAGGCAGGGTCTCCTCCCCCTCTAATCCCTCTTATCCCGGCTTAATGAGTTAAAACAACTTCTATTCTGCTTGTTTTGCATGCACAGGGAAACA